TAAATATTCAGGAACAATGAAGCATTTAACAACCACAAACCTGGATCTTACAAGAAAAGAAGAAATTTTACTGAATAGAACAAGATGTGATTTCATTTTTACTGGTCATCTTTTTCAACATAATTTTCAAGGTATTGACAGTCCCAAATGCATCTGTGGTTTTAAACAACAAACTACAAAGCATCTAATCTTCAAATGCCCTCTGTTGAATGTTATAAGAGAGAAACTTTGGGGGGAACTCAGGAACATGCCAGAAATGAACATTTTCTTTACAGGATGCTCTATAGAGCAAAAGCTGAATATCTTAATGTATGGCAGAGATGGAGTTAGCATAACATGCAATTCTTCAATATTGAAGCATTTTACATCCTTTTTGTGTGAATGCATTGATATAATTATATAGTTTTAACACATTCCTGCCATGCATACATATATGTTGGTAGTCATTTTGTTGCTATTATGTAAATTTGAATAAACTTTGTATTAACAGGGCCAATAATGCTGATTTCAGCCTCGGCCCTGTCATTTGTAGATAATTTTGTAAAGTAAAATAAAGAAACCATAAAAACTAAAAAAAAAAATAACTGTTGTATTCCATACCTGATGAGGTTTGAAATAATAAGCATGTATCCCATATGCTCTGGTGTGTTTACTTGCAAAATATGTTATCATTTTTAAAAAAAATTCAAATTTTTTCCAAATTTTTTTTCAAATTTTTTGTCCAAAACTTTTTTTCACATTTTTTCCACATTTTTTACATATTTTTTCAGAATTTTTTTTCAATATTTTTTCAAAATTTTTTTACATAATTTTTTTTTTTAACGGGACATACGATTTATATGTCCCGTAGCTCCGTTGGAGCGGGACATACGAAAAATATTTGCCCGGATATGGAATATATTCCCGGTTGATATGTCCCTGAAGCCTCATCAGGTATGGAATACTATCCTATAGTCGGTTCAGGATATTGGGATTATCCCTTGGCCAATATAATATATTTTCCCTCGGGACCTGCGGCCCTCGGGCAAATATATTATATTTCCCTCGGGATAATCCCAATATCCTGAACCTCATATAGGATAATCTCTATGTATGCACCAACAAAAAGGAATTTTTGTTTTGCTTTTAATGGAACAAGGATGGTCATCGTTTCAGAAAAATCTGGAAACTAGAAAAGATGTTTCTGAAACGATGTCCATTCTTGTTCCATTAACGAGGCGTATAGCCTTTTTATTTTTTCGTGTAAAATTACGATTTCTCTGCCAGCTGATTTCCAATCAAGATCATTCAAGTATCTATGTGTTTCTGACACGTTTGCGCGTCCAGGAATAACAACGTCTACGCAAAGTACGCACGCCAAATTGACGTAATCCATGACTGATATCGGGAAGACAAAATTTGAGATTCACAAACAAAATTGCTTGTGAAGACGTTTTGCAAAAGTGTTCCAGAGACTCGAATCTACTTGGCTAAGGTTTTATTTGACGATACATTGCCTTATTGAGCAGGTAGAGGGGCATACAGGACACGGAAGCAAATGTTATGCTGAAAATTTTCTATATTTCAGTTTGAACATGTTATTACATGTCACGTAGGCCAGTGTTTTATATGGGGATTATATGTATTATAAACAATTCTGAAAGAATATCACATATTTTTGTCTGCCCGATTCCAGTAATGAATTACGTCAATTTCGCGTGCAAACATTGAGTTGATGTTGTCATTACCAGATGCCCAAACGTGTCAGGAACACATAGATACTCGAATGATGTTGATTGGACATCAGGGTATAGAGTAATCGTAATTTAACTGAGTGGCTTCACCAAAAAATAAGCAGCATTTTAGGCCACCTAAAAGCAAAACAAAAATTCCTTTCTGTAATATCGCCATCTTTAATATCAAACTGAAACTATTTGCATCATTTTGCATTCTACACAGACATTAAATTCAGTTTGGTTCACTGTACTTCTTCAAGATTGCTGCATAATAATTAATATCACTATTAATAAGATCATTGTAACTAAGGACCTACCAGATGCAAGACGAATAATAGTAAAAGAAATCGTGTCAATTGTTTTCTTTTGTAATTTAATTAGTAAACATTTCCAATAAACCCTGCCACCTTTGATGTCATATTTCGTAATTATCAATCTGTCCAATTTTGATTCAAATACTTATGCCCGAAGGAATACACTGGGTGTAACATTAAGAAAATAATTTGAGACAGGATTGTCATGATTCCTAAATTGTGAAGAGGGGGATGTTGGGTATTGTGTCTTCATAAGTTTGGGATGTCTGGGGTTTATTAAATGATGACTGATTGATATTTTTTATTTTTTCTTGCTATGCTTTGTAATATAGCATTGTTGTTTCAATTCCTCTTCTGGCACTTCTGCTTACATATTGACATGGCGTTTTTCAAATCAACAAAACAGAATAATATATAGAATGTTAATGGGGCCCAAGGATCTAAATGAATTGTCCAATTAACAAACTTGTGCGTTTTGCTCAAGTTGCCTTGGAAACATAATTCATTTCACAAACTGATAACAAGTCATAGATAAACGAGGTATTTCCATGGAAACTGGTTCAATTGGATGCTTAGATAAGCGAAAGATAGACTTCAAATAGATGGACGATGATGCAACAAATACAGGTAACATTCAACAATCTGAATACCAGCATTGTAAATAGCATTCAAATACCAAGTGTGATTGTGCAATTCATCAAGGTGAATTGAACAGAAACGTGCCGGAAATTCACCATTCTATTTACGTCTTGTATGATTTCAGGTATTATCGTTACCGCTTCTCAAAATGGCGTAAATTCCATAAGTCTGATAAGGACATGCCATAACTGGATTACTTAACACAAAGGATGGGTATCGATATGGCAATCTTTTTGAACACATTTTTCTCTTAAACCAGTCATCAAAAAATTCTGAAAATTTTACACATTGTCAATTTAATGGTCATCTTTTGAATGGTAACAATATAATTTGAATAAATATACTTTTCTCTATATTGTTTTAGAAAACACATCGGACACTTCCTTTGTTCTTGGTATCATATGTTCGGAATGAAATGAAACATCTATCCGAACCTCATTGGAACAAAATGACATAAACACAAGGTGTCTCTCTCAATATTGTAATTATACAAAGGAAAGTTTGATTGATTTAGGAAAAAGTATCTTGTTCATGAAATTAAAGGTTTATCTTAGTTTTTATCTATTACGGGGGTTTCTGTTTGAATTTTTTGAATACTTTTTGTTAAAATCAACCAAAATTTCTTTTGTACAACTATAATATTGGGAAGTTTAAGAAAATGTTGCATATGCTATTTTGTTAAAACAAGCTTCGGAAAGATATTCTATTTCATTCTCAAGAAATGGTAAAAAGGAACAAAAAACAATTGCACTAAAAAAACAAAAAATGTTAACAAAAACAGAAATATGTAATATATATAAATTATTAAATTGTTGTCAATCAGTCAACATTACATAAAGGACCGTGTTCTTTACAGAATGTTTTCAATAATTCGTTTAAGAGAAAAACATTGTTGAATTTAGTCCTCCATATCGATACCAATCCTTTATATACTGCTCTTCTTTGAAAATTGTTTTTACACGAAAAAAGACTCCAACGAATACAGATGTATATTCATGTGGTCTGTATGTATTGGTTTTATTATGTCATCCCGGGAAGTGGTCATGTTTTCTTTTAGCCCTTTTAATAATGTTGTTGACCGATCGGTGTCGTGTCTGATTTGAGTTTGAAACAATTTCACATTATGGGTAATATCATTTACCAGATGGCAACGAAGCGAGGGACTTGTACTTAGTTTTCACTTTCCAATACTGTGTTTAACTATATGGTGTCATTTTGACTTTAAATGTCTTCTATTTCTTAAAAACAAAACAAATTCTTAATGTAAATAATATATTTCTTAATACTTTGGCGAGATGAATGATAATTTGTTTGTGATTGGAACAGGTGCTTATAAAATGCGAACACAGTGAAAGCGTGTTATATAATGAAATGATAATTATATGTAATAAATATAAAAGTATGATAAAATACACACGGGAATTTATTTACAATCATGCATAAATTATACATTATTAAAGATATATCAAAACGAAAAATTTATTTTATAGGCCTCGGTTTTGGATTTAAACCAATATTTTCAATTCAGTGGGGTTGACATCAATTACCAGAAAAAGAAACATATCGTTTATGATATGAACATACCCTAAAGTCAAAAGATATACAAAAAGTTCTAGTTTGGGGAACACCTGTTTATCTAGATCTTTTACTGGTATATAATGTTTTTAGATGCCCAGAGGTCGAGATGATTATATAATTGAACTCTAAACATTGGTCCAGGTATTCCCCTCAATAGAATGAAATATTTGTACTATTGTTCACGTTTGTGTTTCTCTTTCGTCACAGGATAGTCTACGTCATGTGACGTGTGTTTAACCAATCACAGAATGACTTTACGCATATCTGAGATAAATTACAACTGAGTCACTAAATATTATAAAATATAACTAAGTGCCCAATAACATAAGACACTATCAAACATGATGGGCAACTGGGGATCGAAAGGGAAAAGTGCTAATCTTATCAGAACCCTAGCCTAACAGTCCTTTCCCTGCCTTTTTGTAGATCAAAGAAATGATATCTTTGCGATGAAGGTGTCATTTGTTGTACCTTTTTAAAGTTAGCTATAAGTCCTATTTTTGTTTGGACAGATTGCTACCTATCACCTATGACATCATCAAGTTAGCCAATACATCATAACTTCTTTGATGTACCACAAGGTGGCAGGGTTTATTGGAAAGGTTATTGAGTTGTTGAGAATGATGTCTAATTATGCTCTACGATGTACATGTATTCTAAAATCTAACTGATACGCACACAAAAGTGCAACACGTAAGATACAGTGCAAGGTGTTAAACTAACCCGACAACAATTATTTCGGGAACACATACAGATGTTACGCATATTCTAAATTTGTTCTTTTCAAAATCAGTTATTACACCTATTGTGGATAATAAAAAAACTTTTGGGTTGTTTATACATCTTGTAGATATCAAACATGTACCTATTTACATTGTGTTATATCACTGTCGTCAATTTTTGTGTCATTAATCATAGTTTGAGATAATTTATTGTTCGTTTTTACACTGTACATCATATTAATTTCTTCGTTCGTTGTCGGAACTATTTCTTTATAACACAATCGCCTTCAACATCAACCCCAATTACTCCTCGTTTCATGTCCCCAGCAGCTCCATCTAATTTAAAGAATATGTTGTTGATACCATGAATTGGATCTTTTTTCCCTGCAGCTTCGTGTAAATGTGCCTGGCATGGTTCACCCTCTTGTTCACCCCATTCATTCAATGGTTGCACCATGTACAGGAAGTGGCCATCAGCAACCAACTTCCGGTGGCACACTCTATACTCGCTAAATCCTAGAATATGAAATAAATGTTAGATGAACACTACAAATAATATGTTTAGCATTAGAATTGTATATTCGTTGGCCACTACATCGCTTCGTGCTTTTGTTACAACAAAAGCATGTGTAATGATATGGAAATATGGGAAAAGTAATAGCTTATTTGTAGTTGGGGAGTTCAACATTTTTGTCTGCACATTTTTGGTGACGGGTAACTTGAGTTTTCGGTATTTTAATGTATTCAATAGGCGCACGACCCATACCTTTTTGCTCGTTAATGTCAGCTTTCTCCCACTTGTCAGTTTTAAGATGGTCTATCAGCTCCATTTTAATCTGGAAATACGCAAAAAGAATCTGTGGGCAATGTGCTGTGTTAGCATGGAAAGGTCATTATTCATTTGTCTGAAGTAGGGTAGGCTTTCACCTGGGATAAATTTTGCAGCTTCTTTTTTTCTAAATATCACTCATCTTTCACGACCTGAGCTGTTGATTGTTCATGTAGCCTTGGTCTGAAATAAGAGCTTGGTTTAGGATGATAATACCATCAATAATTCACCTTTCACAAGACGCTTTTGTTCAAAATCTACTAAGTGTTCTGCTTAATTAATTACCAGAGATAAAAATGATAATCTATCTCAATTTCTGGGAAAGTATATCTTACGCTTTAGTCGTTATTAACTTTGTGGCAGATAGTGTATGTTTACGAGTTGGATAATGGGTTGGAAATATAACACTCCAATATCTCTCCTGTTTGTTGTTGTGTGGTGAGGTCATGCAGAAAAAGTATAGAGGTGTGCCCCTATCAAGCCCTGCCTACCAAATACTTCATCATAGATAAGCTCCGAACAATATGGATGGCTAACTAGATAATATGGCATGGTTTTATGAGGTCATGATCATAAGTCAAAACCAAGGCCTGCTCATTTGTAACATAAACACAGGCAATTCATTTGTTTCCAAGTTGCACCGAGCCTCATGATCTGGAACCTCGATTAATGCATTTGGAATCAATCATTATCCTTGTCACGAAAACACTGCAAAAGTTTATCATCTACACAGAAAACCACAGTTTTACTTCACTGATAAAGATGTAGAATAACATGAATCGGATCTACTAGTTCATTGTGACTTTTACCAATATTTACCACACTTCTTTTGAAACCAGTTTCAGACGCCTTATATTAGGTTAATACCAAACTGAAATCAGAACTGCAATTTCCGTTTCAGTCGAGGGTATTTTGACATTAAACTCTTTAAAACAGAGATCATGTAAACATAACGTACCTATATTATTTATACAGGGTGTCCAAAACGTCTACATTACAATTACAACGCGAAATTTCTAACCATTGTAAAGAGACTGTATGGACATCTCGTATATCTTGCATTGATTTTAATAATGTCCGTTCTCTAAAGTCTCCATTGTATGAGTTGCTTTAAGTTTTGAAACGTAGTGCTGTTAATTCATTAAACTTTAGAAAGATAAATCTAGAAATAGGGTGGGCTAGAAATAATGTACTTCGAAGACAGCATAATGTTAAAATCCCACAATCATGAATTTTTCATTTTTTCTAAAAATCCCCCAAAATTAAGTTCGGTAAGTTTTGGAGATACACTTTCTTTATTCCCTGCTTCCTCCAATCCCCAATATTAAGAAGTTTTCAAGATTTAAGTTAAACGCACATTTGTGCTTGTTAATAAAGTATAATGTGATAAACATTTTCACATAAAATTCCATACAACTTATTTATATACACTTTAAGTTTTAAGCCTCTGGTTGCAAAACTGCCAAGTAAATAGTGCGAGCGTAACATAATATAGGCCAAATAATTGGGCTCTAAAGGGGGGCAAACATCCGAAAAATTGCAATAGTTTTTAAATTAGGCTTGCATTTTGTATTGATGTCAGTAGAAAAAATGTAGAAAATATATGCAGTGGACAAATATGGAATTTTGAGTATGGGTTAGTGAATGTTTTTAATAAGGATATTGCACTGAACGAAATTGCTTTGTGAAGCCTCTGAGTACTTAAATTTTATTACTTTCCTAATTATTCACTTTGAATTATACCCATTCACAAATTCATTTATACTGTATTACAGGCACAAGATCAACTCGAACAGCTCAATAATTTCCATTTCTATCATAAGTGGAGATTCACTTTCTGAGTAAGGCGATGACCTCAGTGTTTGTTGTCTGCTCTTTGCTCGTAATTATTGCCGCAGACAAGTCTCAGCTCATCTGTTTACTAATAAGTTATGATATTTCCATTTATTAGCCAATGATCCTCCTCTTTTGTTGAGATTTATGATTCCCCGTCAAGACTCCTGTCTAACTAGTATTCAAGTTGACCTTTAAGAGCTCATTTTAGGTTACACGTTGGCGCTCAGTAAAGCGTGTCGACATTTTCTTTCATTATTGGCGCTAATGCGAGCAACATTTCTCTTTTCTTGGCATTGTCTGCACCCAGGTCATGTTCCCTTTGCTATCGATGATCTATTGTTACATATCGATATATAGCGTCACGTTACTGTGGAGCAGAAAGTTATAAAAGATGTCAACGAGGATTGACTTCCAGGGTTCCAAATCATTACACCATTGAAAATGTTGACTGACTATTACTTCATAATCTGCCATCCAAAAGATTTGAATTAATATCTTGATCACTTCTTGTGTGTTTTGAATTTTTTGTTTCGAAATAAGACCGAATTCGACATTATTTATTTCTGTGTTTTATGAAATGACGTAAAATACCTTGGGACCAAAGATATGGTTCAGACACTCACGGACCAACAACTATAACTCTTACTACATTAAATAAGTTCATAGTCTGGTAATATTAAATTCATTTATTAGTGTTCATTGTCACAGACTTTATTACAATTTTTTGTTTTAGACGTTTCGAATGCAAACTGCATCCAGGATCACTAAAGGAGCATGTAGGTTATCGCAAGCAATTTCAGAAGATTATATCTTGGATTATGACTATTTTCTGACAATGAAGACAGGTTTATCTTTTAGATCAATTCATTATCTCAAAGAAAATTATATACAGTAATAATAAAGTCAAACAAACTCGGAGATATTAACTAGTAATCAAACCATCAACATACTTTTTCAAAGATGTTGACCCCATTTTTACCAAAAATGCAATCATTTTTTACAATGTTTAATGCATTACTATTCTTTATTTTGATGTATCAAATAGTCCTTGAAAGAAAAACGTAATTGCTTTAAGATAAGTGTTCCCCATGTTATTTCTCCATTGAAAAATCTCATGCTTTCCATTGGTTTCAGTTCATTTTGGTCATCCAAATTCAGTATCTTTAAGTCCCTGGAGCAATCAGCTTTTCCTTTTAGGAAATCAAACATGTTTCAAAGCACATTCTAATTATGCATTCAACAATAAAATAAAAGGTTGCATTTTTGGTGAAAATTAGGTCAACATTTTTGAAAAAGTATGTTGATTGGTCCATTGCCCCTTCAATAACACTTAGGTATGATTAACTAAATCATCATATATACTTTTCTTGAAGATAATGAATGGATCAAAAAGATACACCCATGTTCATGATCAGAAAATATTCATAATTCAAGTTAGAATCGTTTGAAATTGTTTGCGATAACCTACGTGCTCCTTTAAATTGAAAACAGTTAAAACGAATACATGTAAAAACTTCTTTTGTCTAAAACAAAATATTGCAATAAAGTCTGTGACAATGAACACTAATAAATGGACATAACTCTTACTGTTTCACGCTTTTATGAGTCCCTATAATTAAGGCAAATTACTGTCATACACAGGGACATATGCCGATTACTCAATTAGTACGAAATTAGTTCTAAATTAGCACTCTGGCAAAAGTGCGCTTTTGAGCACTCATGCCACGATTGCTGATTAAGTACTAATTTTTTACTAACTGAGTAGTCAGCATATGTATGAGTGCTCATTGAGTAATGAAAAAATCAATGAAATTCATCACTCATAATATGAGTAGTCATTTAGTAAGTACAAATGCAATAAATCGGTACTCATGTCATAAGTGCTCATTTTGTACTAATATTTACTGAAATGAGTACTCAATTAGCGCTAATTATAAAATGCCATGAGTACGATTTTAGAACTCGGCATATCTCCCTGTGTACCTGTGTATTTACCTCCCCTCACTCAATGACCTCGAACCTGAGTTTTTTTCTTGCTTGAAAATCAGTTACATGCTGAGTAAAAAATGTTGGCAATTTCTACTTTATCAGTTGAATAATTAATTAGAACATTTTTAAAGTTTCAAAACGGCAGGGGTATTTATTAATATACATCAGAGAAACAGATTAGAGTTATTTTGACACGAGATTCCCCAACATTAAACAGGTATAGCTTAACATTGAAAGATCTAAGACCTCAATTTCTAACATTTAGATCCATTACTCGTAAACAAGCCATTGATTATACAGACCCATACTACTTAAACCCGTGTCCGATTCAAATGGCAAAGGGGTAGAACAAACAAAGTAACCATAAAGAAAGATCACTTTTCACCGTTTGAAAATGAGTTTGAATTCAGGAGATATGTGGTAACCCAAAATTGCACGATTAATTATTTTCTCGATAACTTCTTTTTTGGGTTTAGATGATGTTCATTTTGTAAACAAATCCGTATTTTAATAGCGAATATGGCATCGAGAGTCAGTAATATTTTCGGCTAATTTTCTAATAAAGAGATTAAGCTTCACGTTTTAGAAGAACGTGTACACGAACGTGTAGATTTATAGTCCTCTGAACTCTTGGAATGAGTCCCCCCCCCCCTCCTGGTTATATATTAACTTGCCCGATTGAGTAATTACAAATAACGAAATTAGTTAACGTTGTAATTAGGTCATTTGAAAATAAACAATTGGGCGGGATAGTAATTCCTGTGGTTACATATTACATATTCACGTAAACGTTATCTTAAAACGTGCTACTTTACAGCCCATATTCGGAACACCCTGAGTCATTATTTGACTTACACCGAGTCCATCGAATGATACCCCAGAGATAATGCATATATACGAAATAAGGTATTGATTTGTGATTCAAAACATTGTAACAACATCTACATATTTATATCTCAAACACAGTCAAGCTGGATACAGACATTCACGTCCACGTGTGAAACAAAAAGTGAGAACAAAAATAGCATAAAGAAGGGTGTGCCATTTTTTACCAATCCTGGTTCCGATGCTGTTGCCAATAGGGTTTGCTGTTGGAAGCCACGTCAAAACAAGTTAAAGAATCAGACCAAAATAACCGTAAGGCTAAAAATAAACAATTCCAACTCTATCAGTTAGATAACTGTAGAGCCAGGCCTCTTTCAATTGAAAGTCATTCATAAACATGTTTTAATCAGTACTGGCTACTTAAAAGAAGGAAATTCAAAATTAGGGGTCGGGGATCTGGCTTCACCAAAGATAACACGTAGAAATAATATTTCCGGGTGATCTTATCACGTGGCGCGATGTTACATTTTGATTCATTTCATTTGGAAGAACAAATAGCCAGAATGAGATCATTTGTAAGATCGTACCATCAGTTTGTTATTTAGTCCCGCTGGTATTCTCGTTACACTTGGCAGATTCGTTCATGATATCGTGTTGAAACCGCAATGTCGGTATTTACCCTAGTTACACATGTACGTAGGCTACAACCGCGGTGTAGGTATTTACCTTATAACCAAATGACGTACAATCACGGGGTTTAATTTGATAGCGTCATTATTTATAACCAAAACGTAGCAAGATAGGAGTAAACTTAAATCTTAATGAAGGAGATTTCTTCCTTTGCCAGCACATTCTCTCAAATATTTCATTTCATACTGAGATGCTCTCCTAAATTCACTTATTTTAAAAAAGCCACAGCTAAATACCACTAGCAATGTCATTCTAAGATTCAAGATTCAAGACATGTTCATTTGCCAAAATTAGATTTTATAATTCCGTAGTTAATACCATCGTGGTAAACGGCTATGCAAAAAAACTGTTTTTCAACCATTCTGATACTCATCAAATATTGAAATTCCTATCGACAAATTGCTGAGAAAAAATGAGACGACACAGTTTATCATGATGGCCTTTCCGCTGCTTTGTGTATATTTATCTCTTTTACGGCCAGGTAGTCAGGCTAGATAGGCGCTGAAGATGCCTTGTCGCTCGCATCCGCAGGTCCAATTACTTTACCAGCATGGGACGAGCCTGTCACTCTGTTCTAGTGTTTACGATGAATGTCAGATCCATGAAGGTTATCACGTTGCAAATTATTTTAAATTGAAAAAAACATGCTACAATCTGATATTTCGGCAAATAATTTGACTTATTATTCAAGAACGAGGCCAATTCTTAAGAGTTGAAAATAAACAGACTATCGTACCATTCTAAACTTATAAAATTCAACAAGGATTCCCACAATGTGTTCACAAGATAACATCGTTTCAGAATGTGAATTCTTACTTCCGATAGAATGAGGTTTTTGCCAGAAAGAGAGTTCTACATTTTGAACCTACCTACATAGACTTTGCGAATTAGGTTATACTATGGTATGATTGTCATGGTAGCTCTATTTACAGTGATATGAAGGAGCGAGATCAACCCCAACATCCGTTCTTATTCCCTCTACGATTCAATATGGCAGAAAGTACATCTGCTAAACAGTTCGAAGCACACGGGGTAGCATGACATACAAACTCCAGTAATCAATTGAAATTGATTAAACAACCAATCAAGTCAGATTCTTTAATCATATCAACAATAACTTTTGCTCTTTGAACCCCCGGAGAATCCTCAATTTCGACACGCATATTTTCAGTCTCAACTATCCCATTCACCTACATTTCTCAAGTTCCATGAAAACATATATCTGAATTCCAATCATACATCACAATGTCTCTGAGAGCGTTGACATTCGAATACCAAACCCTGGGATCGGCGATGTGATCAAACAAACATATAGAGAATCAAACAAGTAATGACACAAATTCATTATGCTCACTCAAAATATTTTGCAAAGGGGGATTTTGGGCGAGGGCGATTTCATGATATGAGATTTCTGAAACATTTAGCGCTAGTTTAGTATCGCATTCACCCGATCAGAACTGACGCTGATCCCCCTGAGGGAGACCTACAGTAAGGTTAAAGATAGATAGAAGAATCGAAAACTTCTTTCATGAATCATTTACATTATTCTAGATCCTCTGGTTGTTTTCTCAGAATGGTGATTGGGCAGTTAGTTGTGAAATTGAAAGATGAAGGGAGATTATTTGAAAAGAAGTCGCGATGATTCATTTAACCGAGTAAGAGATTTAGATCGATTTGGACTCGGTAGCTCGGTACCTATCGATTGAATTTATAATTAATAAATAATATCCAATTCAAATTTTGATTGTTGCGAAACTTGAGAATGTTTTTGAAATATATCTATATCGGCTCGGATATAACGCTGGGATTCATGTATCCAAATCTGCCGAGTATCACTTTTAGAATTCATTTTACCATTATCAACACTGTTTTTCATAAACCACTTTTCGTCTCGGATTTCAAATATAAATACTAATGCCAACAGTATGGTTTGTTTCTCTAAGAATAGCATTTACTTTGTTACTTAACTATGACCCAGAGATTAGACCTCGGAAATTAATCATTTTTTATCACAAAAACAAAATACCAATTTTTGTTGCGTTTTTTGGAATAGCTATTTTTCTTTAACTTTTTCAATCGTGTATTTTGCAATTTTAGTTAAGGAAAACAGAAAGGCTATGCCTCTTTGGCCTTTCTTTAAAAAAGTACTATTCTGCCAGACATACAATTAACCCTCAGGGACTTTAGGCAGACCTATTCACAAAAAAACATTTGGAAGCCATTGATCAGAGTGTTTTTGTGGGTTTACTTCATAAAGTGATGAATCATTCATTGTTGGGTAGCATTACCAATGCCGGCTAAAAACTATGCTACCCATTTATTCCACTGCTATCTGTGTGTTTTTCTGACATTCTTATATTCATGTTCTTAATCACATCTATCTTAAAGTCCGTCTCTCAAATTTGAAAATGTGATGCACCTGTATATAACTTAATGTAGACCTACTTTCAACGTCACCTATTTTTCAATTGTAGAAAACAAAAAGTTAGCTAGGTAGCTTCGTGTGATTCCTGTTTTCAGCAACAATTTTTCAATTGTTAAAAACAAAAACTTTGGGTAGCTTCATATAATCTAATATAGACCTATTTTAACAGCTACTTTCCAAATGTAGAAAGCCAAACCTTTTGGTAGCTTCATATAATTCAATATAGACCTATTTGTAGAAGACAAAAACTTTAAGTAGTTTCGTATAATTAGACCTATTTCCAATTGTAGAAAACAAAAACCATTGGTTGTCTGACCTATTTTTAACACCTATTTTTCAATTGTAGAAGACAAAAACTTTGGGTAGCTTCATATAATTTAATTTAGACCTGTTTTCAACAACGTATCTATTTTTCAATTGAAGAATACAAAAAATTAAGTTGAATTATTCTTAAAGATGATTGCTGTAGCCTCGAGTCAATTAACTAGCTAGTTCCACATCGCAACAAGTTTGGAATATTGAAATAGGAATTCATTGCATTTTGTTCAATGTTTATCGGTAGTAGCTACATATACTGGTTGTTGATTGATGTATTTGTGGGCATCATTAGGAGAATTATCAATCAACTCGACAGTGCTAGTGGTTTGAGTTATGCAATTTTCCCCGTATTTGCCTCTATTATATTTCCATAGGTTAAAATAATTTATCAAGGAAATATGCGTTGAATTTGTACAAACTCCGGCAAAAGTATATTAAACAAGATAAGTGACAGACATTTTAACGATGTTGAGGTTTCCCGGCCTGTAAAAACTAATGTTTGTTTATAGTTATTGGTATGCGCTTGTAGAATAAGTAACATTTTTAGAGGTGAAATTCACCCCAATTAGCTTAGCTCTTTGTTATTAAATTCACAACAATAACATTTACATGATCAATATAATATATATCAATTTATTTTAAATAAAACTGATATCCAATGAAGAAGTTAGAACCTAGATTTATTTTCCATTAAATGACACATAATCTACGTAATCTTCAAATGTCATTCCACCAATCAAGTTATATAAGTATCAAATTAATTACTCTAATAATATAAGTGATTTTTAATTGTTATATTTACCTGTCAATGTGTAGACTAGGCGTTATATAATATGCAGAAAATGCTCCGAGTGAATTGTTCTTAATTGTCTGATGGTGTAACTTGCTGAAGTATGTTTTGTTATCCCAGTGTTTTCAATATTCTGGAACTCAAGCTCAGTGATGCTAGCTGTTATAGATGGTTGAAGTCTTCTTATCTTCGCCGCTTCTTCTCTGGTTCACTGTTTATAAAATGCGCAATTTTTCGCTCAAACTCAGTTTAAACCAGTTTTCGATGCCTTCGATCCAATAGAACGAAAGGATCGATCAATTTTAAGATTCCTTGGCTTGGGTTGCGATACAAACGGTGGCAAGTGCATGAATACTTGAACTAGATATTTGTGTAATGAAAGATATGAATGTTTATTTGTAAGAGGCGCTGTTTGGTGTGCCTGATAAAACTTTGGATTTCTTCCAAACATGGCTCGGGGTTGTTTCGGAAGTGTGTTAATTAAAATGTCATTTCTTATAGTTATATAATGGTACAACAAAAGGATGGATACTCACTTGCACTAAATATATATAAGAAGATGCGAACATATTACTTGATGTTTTGATCAAAGATCAACGTGTGTTTTCGCTCCAAATAGATACATAATTTAATCAGATAAAATGGAATATTTTTTCATAACTTTAATTTTAAAAATGTGTTAGAAATACAAGAATAATGACTCAATTTTCCTGATCAGATTAAGAACTTTAAGTAACAAATCACACATCTGAGAATAATATTTGCAATCTGTACGATCATCAATCTTGATGCTTACTCAGTCACTTTAGTCTTCTGACGTTTGAACAGTCATCGACTTAGCTATCTGCCCAGTCGACAATCTGCTGTCTGCTCAATCATCAATTTTGTCATTTGCTCAGTCACCAATTATGACATCTGCTTTATAATAAATTTTGTCATCTGCCCTGTCACCAATTTTGACATCTGCTTTGTAAACAACTTTGTCATCTGTTCTGTCACAAATTTTGGCATCTGATTTGTAATCAACTGTTTCATCTACTCTGTCACCAATTTCGGCATCTGTTTTGTAACCAATTTTGTAATCTGCTCTGTCACCAATTTTGACATCTGCTATATAATCAATTTTGTAATCTGCTCTGTCACCAATTTCGGCATCTGTTTTGTAATCAATTTTGTAATCTGCTCTGTTACCAGTTTTGACATCTGCTTTGTAATCAATTTTGTCATCTGCTCTGTCACCAATTTTGACATCTGCTTTGTAATCAATTTTGTCATCTGCTCTGTCACCAATTTGTATATCTGTTCTGTTATCAACTTTTTCATCTGCTTTGCCATCAATTTTTAATTGTTAATCTGTATTTGTCACAATGTAATATTTACCATAAAATACTTACATTAGAGATATATCAGAATTTCCACCGATCAGAATTAAGTATTTTAGTGACCATTGAAGAGTTTCAAAGGCACAAATAATGAAGACAATATATTTTAGATCTAATAAAGTATCATGTCACCAGACTTTAAATAAATCTCTAAGTAACAGCGAATTTCTGCTAGGCTGCTGAGTATAATAAAGCTATACTTTCACTAATTAACGCAAATTCCTGTTTTCCCGACCCCCATACACAGCCCCTGGGGGTCAGACCAAAAAACTCGGAACATATGTGAAGAAGATAGATGTTGTGAATATATTATTAAAATTTAACAATTATATTAACTTCTTTGGTTTAAAATGAAAAATTTAAGATTTTCCAAAATATTCCCGCCATTTCTAAAGCGGCGGCCATCTTGAAAAAAAATTGTTGCGTAAAACTACCAATATGCATATTTCAGCGAATTTTGAAGCAAATCCGTCCACTTGTATTCGAGTTATCTTCCAGATGGACGGACGTACGGACGGACTGACGGACGGAGGACTTCACTATATCCCTACCGAACTTCGTTCGTTGGGATAATAATGGGAAATATGAAGACGTAACCAAAAATTAGCAGAAAATATATCTTCCACTCGTTTATCTCAATTTGCTTGCTTGGGGCTGTTATATTTCAGTAATTGCTTGTATTACGATACTAATACCAAACCAAACATATTAAAAGGGCACAAGAAAATACAATTCGAGATCTAAGTAATATTTATTTAGATACATTAAGATATACAAATCCTCTATAACCTACGTGTGGAAAATCCATTTAGACAAAAATATCATTCGTAGGTATTTACTTAAAACAGTTATTTTCACTCACGGACGCAACAGGGAAGTTGTGGAAATCATTTAAAAGTGGAGAGAAAAATGATTGCTCAACCTAGTTCCTGACTCAAAACAAGATTGCAAATAATTATTAATCATGGCTGAGTCGTATAAACCTGTGAACAGTTATATATTTATGAATATAGAATTAAACATCTTAAGTGGCGGTGGTGCCATTTCAAAGGAAAATTTGATTGAATTGTCATGAGAGTTAAAATTATTGTTATTTTTATTTGGCAATCACTTTTATAAATGTGACACCCAAAGATGTATCAATATGTAACATTTTAAACTTTTAATACGATGAAAAATGCTTATGATGCAAAACTGGTAATTAGCGTAAGTGGAGCAACACTTACTACAACTGTCTTAGATTCATCATTCATTGGTATTACTAGTAGTATTCCTTGAACTTCTTAGAGATGTCCAATCTGGCTGGCATTGAGCTTGTTAAAATGAGTTGCGATTTTTCAGTTGCTTGTAAATTTAGTTGCATAAATTTAAAAAAATGTTTTTGTCTGTTAGTATTATTCTTTAATGCCACCATATATCAGAAATGAGAAAAAGAACGATACATCAAATGACGACCGCGCATTGTTAGATACACCCGCAGATGATCAGATTTTGAATAAGGGTGTACTTAGGCATGAGCCAGGTGAAGCAAATGCCTCAACAAAAAACTGTTAATTTACAGAAATATTAATTGAGTCAGATTTTTTAAAATTATATTTTCGTATCGAGTTAAGTTATCACCGAGAGAAAAGGTTTTCTAGATAACACAACGAGCCCAATGTAATGATCTCAAGCCATGATCTCAAGTTTGTTGGCTAGAGACTGAGTTTAAGCATTTTCTGTTTGTTCTCCTGACGTGGAAATTCAATCAAACCTGTTGAAAAGTGTTTGTCACTTTTGACTCACGACATATATAGGTTTCCGAAGCATAGTAGATTAATGGCAGATGCCAATTACCTAGTGATTGACCACCTGGATGTGTAAGATATTTTTGCCAACATTATTTGCATGAATGGAATTAATAATTTGAATTATATTGGTTCGATTGTTCCTGAATCTATTAAATGAGTTGAATTACCCTGTACGCAGAGGCCAGTTACATTCTACTGATGAAGCTCTCTTTTAAGACGTGAGGTTGAACGATAAAAGCAAATGGTAGAGTTGACTAGGAAGAAAACGGTCACTTAGCGTGTATTTTTCAATAAACAAACCAATAGAAAGAATATGTGAAGAAATCTTTAAATGTTTAAATTTCCTATAGCACTTTGTATAGCGGATCTCATCTCGGATATAAATAAGGAGTTTGGAGAGAGAGTGGAGTTACATAATTACAGGTGCTGGCTTTTCTCAAGTTGGGTCACATTGACCTTCCAGACGCATCTATTTACTTTTCTGCAAAGATTCCACGGTGGCCATGGTGCTTTTATGTTTTCTAAAGCCGTCTCATGTTTACACATTTACTATCTGTTTCTACTGATGTGATCATTATAAGGTTCTTAAGGGGCCTATAAAAATTATATAAACCAGGTACAATTATAGTAAATATGTTAGGCATGTTTGATACCAGAGTTGATTAATCCATTGCAAGGGGATTGAGGAATAATATAAGAGGTTATCATACTTTAGAACAACTTGATCCAGATCATCATAACACCCGTCTCGTGGTATGTATCATTATGTGATATTTTGCATGATCGCAGAATGAGTTGAAATATTCACGATATTTTAATCTTGTTCGACTCTTCAACTACTTCCATCAACCAACAACCAAGTAATAAATCACGCAAAGATCTAAGCCTGAGACATACATAATCATCAAAAGCCAATTTATATTTTAACACCCAGCTTCGACTTCCATGCACAACTGAGGCCTTGCAAATCGCAACATTAAATACTCCCAATTAGGTAAACTGTCTATTTTTAATACGGCAACGTATGATTGTTATTAGTTTAAGATTAGTGACATGGTGAAAAATAGTACGACATAATGCAAAATCCGGTTTAACATAAGCCTGATGAATGTAAAATCAAAAAGAGTTATTGATACAAAATACTACTACCATCGAGATTCAAGGATTTAAGCCTTGGACTCAGTGCATTGTGTGCTGAACCATTCCACCAAGACGTTGTTTCCAAATATTTGCATGACCCCGCAGGGGGAATGCAAAGTTTAGGAAACAACATCTGAGTGGAATGAAGCAGCGACAATGCATTGAGTCTTGGGTTTAAATTCGTTTCACACATTGCAAAATATTTTCTATAAAATCACCTAAAATATACAAAATCACTAAAAGAACATATTTTCAATGACACTTTTTGCAAGGGTCAAGTATTGGAAAACTCCATTTCAATCTCAATCGCTTAGCAACTGTACACAACAATAGTATAGTTTCCATATAGCTTTTGAAATCTCGCTAAATCTCGTTTTTCGTGAGATTTTAAGAGACTTGCATATTAGACCTCTAATGACTTACATTACCTTCTTTTAAATGGTATATTTGAATTCAGTGGAATGTTTTCTCCTAAAATAGCTTTGATTTACACAGTTATGTAATTTGAATAATTTTCTATGACAATTTAAAAAAAGTTGGGCCAAATGTCCATAGATGCAATGCTAAAATTCTTTAAAACCGTGGATTATTTGTATGTCAATCAACATTAGCATGTTTAATCACAACATGTTCATAAACAGGGTCATCATGTGGTATATCATTCAAGTTTTATACAGATTCAACAAACACACTTTGATAAATCATGAAATTAAGCCACTTTCCCAAGATTTTAGCATGTAAGTGAATGGAGCTCTAGCCAGAGTTAAAAGCTGAATAAAAGATGGCAGCAAGAGATTTCATTGATTTTTCTGCTATTTAGAAACTATCCTATTGCGTTATTGATATTTCACACACTGTTCATTATGTGAATCATCTGTTTGGATTGGCTGGAATGGGACACACCTTGCCTAGCCATGTTTGAATACAATTGAATACAAATACAAGAATACAAGATGAACTTGTTTATATTGTGTAATATATTTTATTCTGTCAAGTATCTCAAACTAATATTTCTGAGCCTTTGCTAATAATAACTGTAATCAAGGCTTTACGATTTGCTCCATTTTATACAAGGAACTCAAATGTGTAGCTGAATTTACTGTTTTGAAATTGAGAAGAATGACCATTAACGTTACGAAAATCATACTAACTAACCTCTATTCACACAATGAACAGTGTGTGAAATATCAATAACACGTGCAAGGTCACTAGTTAAACAGTTGTCATGGTGATGAATGGATTTTTCACACTGGATTTGATGACTTGCCAACTTGACCCTTGCAAAGAAATTCATTGAAAATATGTTCTTTTAGTGATTTTGTTCGTTTCAGATGATTTTATAAAAAAAAAATGCAATGTGTGAAAAGAATTTAAGCCCAAGACCCGATGCATTGTAGCTGCTTCATTCCACTCAGACTTTGTTTCCTTAACTTTGCATTCCCGCTGCGCGGTCATACAAAGGTTTGGAAACAACACCTTCATGGTATGATTCAGCAAACAATGCATTGAGTCTTCGGCTTAAATCCTTTAGTATACAACATGTGATCATTATGCGATCATCTATGAGAATTGCTTTTTTACCTTCAGTGACAAGTGAGAGGAACAATTATCTTACGTACAGGAACAATTATCGTACGTACAGTATCATAATTCATTATCACCAATAAAAGTATACGACAACTACTTCCAATTGTCTCTTCTATAAATTAATTCATTTAAGCCTCATACACATTTGCTCGTACGGCGGCAGCGAAGATTTACAAAATCAATATAGAAAATCGACATCTGGGTCTACATCGTGTCATCGGAAGCACCGTGCGACGTACCGGCCCCCCTCCCATGTTTTTGGCAACAAGAAATTCTTATTTGTATCACAGAGAAAAAAGCTTATTCAGGTTAACCGATTTTAGGGTAATCAGGGTCGTATTTCCGAACTGTACCAATTTAGGAACAAAATTAATATGCATAATATGATTAAAAATTGTTTGACACGCTATCCGAATGGGGCGTTCGA